GCGAATGAGCAGAGATGATTGGCTACCGTTTACGAGGGATTTTCCCGCTGAGGGGCACCAGGCTGCAGCAGCCTTTCTGTAAAAGAGGGAGCTGTGTTTATCAACTCCGCAGCCTGTTGTCCAGGAAGATAGCCAGCAACGGACGACAAAGATATCGTGGTCGTCTCCTCGATGGCTTCCGTCGAAGAAAGCGCAAGGACACTGTCGAAGACGGACACACTCAACCAAGAACTATACCGAGAATCAGAGTTTGGTCACTTGAAAGAGGTAGAGCGGCTATTGGACAACGGGGCGGACGTCAACGCTCATGGTGGACAACGTGGCAATGCACTTTACGCGGCAGCAAGTGAAGGCCTCGTGGAAGTGGTGAAGCTACTACTAGAAAGAGGGGCGGACGTTAACGCTAAAGGGGGAATTTTTGGTAATGCACTCCAGGCGGCATCATGTTCATCTGGGGATAATGTGGAAGTGGTAAAGCTGCTACTAGAGAGAGGGGCGGACGTCAACGCTCAGGGTGGATTATATGGCAGTGCACTGCAGGCGGCAGTAACTAAAGACCACGAGGAAGTGGTAAGGCTGCTACTAGAGAGAGGGACGGACGTCAACGCTCAGGGTGGATTATATAGTAATGCACTGCGGGCGGCATCATCTAGAGGCCACGAGGAAGTGGTGAAACTACTACTAGAGAGAGGGGCGGACGTCAACGCCCAGGGTAGATTATATGGCAATCCACTGCAGGCGGCAGCAGCTAAAGGCCACGAGGAAGTGGTGAAGCTGCTACTAGAGAGAGGGGCGGACGTCAACGCTCAGGGTGGATTATATGGCAGTGCACTGCAGGCGGCAGCAGCTAAAGGCCACGAGGAAGTGGTGAGGCTGCTACTAGAGAGAGGGGCGGACGTCAACGCTCAGGGTGGATCATATAGCAGTGCACTGCAGGTGGCAGCAGCTAAAGGCCACGAGGAAGTGGTGAAGCTGCTACTAGAGAGAGGGGCGGACGTCAACGCTCGGGGTGGATTGTATGGTAGTGCACTGCGGGTGGCAGCAGCTAAAGGCCACGAGGAAGTGATGAAGCTGCTAGAGAGAGGGGCGGACGTTAACGCCCAACGGCTGCAGGTGGCATCATTATCTGAAGATCACGGGAAGAATAGGTGGCCAGACAAAGAGGCGGACGTCAACGCTCAAAGTGGACAATATGATAATGCACTGCAGACGGCATCATACAAAGGCCACAAAAGAGGCGCCTTTCAAGTAGCAGCTGAAAGTAATTTGGGGTTGGGCGAAACCACGCAAGTGCCCATACCCGAAGAGACGCGGGACGATAGCTCTGATTTTGGATCCGAGATCATGGGTGATGACGATGAAGACTCCGGAATTGGCGACTCAACAGCGACGGGGGACGACAGCTCTGGATCTGGATGCGAAATCATGAGCGATGGAGATGAAGACCTCGAATGTAGCGGTCCAACACCACCACAATATGATTCGCCGTTAGCGAGCCTCAGGGATCGTATCTCCAAACCGGTGGAATACTTTGACGGACTCAGAGCTCTTGCACATCTCGTGTATCAGAATTCTATGCTGCAAACATATAGCAAGAGCTACTCGCCACGGATGGTAGTCGAGCAGGACAAATATTCCGAGCCCTGTCCTAGGTATCTTGGGTCTCTGGAGAAACTTGCGCCGGGCGTTTTTGACCCTATATCTGATTCCGATGTTGTGCGAATTTGTCAAGACGCAGCTGTCACTCACAACGCCTTCGCACGTGACCTGCTTGAGATATTGGAATGCCGGAACGTCAATGCGCAGACCTACTCGAACCTGAGGAGGCTGCAACTTCATGGCTTCTGCTTGCAGAAATTCAGCATACTGACGATAGATCCCCATCGCCACAATGTAGCCAGACTACTGCCCATCGATATTCAGCATATATTACAATTACTGAAGGAGATCGAATCGGTTTTGAGAAAGACCGCAGAATTGGCCCGGCATGCCCCACCTTCCGTGGCATCGGCTAAGGCGCTTTTCGAACAGGCCTTGGGAGAGCAAGATGATTTACTCTTATCTGTCCCTTACTGCGCGAATTTCCTGACTACTCTTGGGCTGGACCTAGCTAGTCCTTCCGTCACCAGAATTAATCTCTCGATCCCAGCAGTTCTGAGACTTGTGGCTAACACTGTTGATCTTGCGGTGGCAAGTTACGCTGGAGCTCATCTAAGTCGATTTGATGAAGAGTATCTTGGAGAAGACATTGCTGTAATAGACGTTCTAGGCCCATTCGCGTCACTACACAAATCGCAAACTCCTTCGATTAAGCTGAGCCGCTGTCAGTTGCAGTGCCTCGATGCGTTCCATAATTCCCAACCTGTGTGGGTCTTTTCATCGAGTGACTGGGAGCCCCGCGGCCATCTCTTCTTATCTACCAAGGTTGAGGATTTCGCAGACATATGGGGTCCGCTATGGAAAGTAGTTGACCCTAAGGTGCATAGTTTATGCACTCGATATGTTGTGGGTAATGGATGTATATACAAATGGAAATCTCAGAAAGCCACTCCTCGCCTTCTGAAAAACGAGATATTATGTCACTGGATTTCGAATACCACAATCGAACGCGGTTCGGAGGATTCTTCGAACAAGGAAGAGCTTGTCTTTCCCGATAGCATAGATGAGGGTTTCGATGGCAACGAAACTTTGCTCATAGGAGCGGTGGCAGCTGGCTGTGAAAGATTGGCTTTGAAGAGGAATTGCAACTTCGATCTTGACAGAACAAGAGCAGCGCTGGACCATGATGGTAGAGTACAAATGCTTGGGACTGTGAAGGAACACACTTACAAAGACTCGGAGACATATCAGCTCCAGGTCGGTCACAGTGGCGTCAATGCCAGTGCATCGAAACAGTACAAACGGCGTGGCCAGTCTTTGAAACAAGCATTTGTAGAAGCTTGGACAACCACTCCAGAGCTTCGTGATCCGCGACTCTTGCAAGACTTTTATGGCGTCGAGGTCTCCTTGTGCACGCAAAATGCTCAAAGAATACAGCTAGGGCGGATTCTTGGCCTCGGCTCCATGTGTCAATACCTCAGATCCTTCAGATGGAAAACGGACTCTGCCAAGCAAGCATACTTCGATGCTTTGGAAGGCTTTCGAGAGGATAGTGACGCCTTACAGCGTACATGGGAAAGGCACGATCAATACCAGGATGATTTTGGCCGGGCAGTACTAGTTTGCCTGAAAGCTCTTGAGAAGACTGGTATCAATCACAAAGGACAATTGACTGCATTCCTATCTTCCCAAGTCACAGCGAGGCCAGAACTGATTGCTATGGAGCCCAGAGAGCATAGCTGGATCGGAATACTGAAAGACAGCGAGACTAGTTGCTGCATGGCTGTCATTGGAGATGACTGTCTTGAATTCAAGCACGGGCTTGGTTCTACTTGTGGCCAATCAGGTCGCTCTGTCCTCCGAACGGCTCTGGTGATCAACTGCCGGAATAAACCACGTGGACTCTGCAAAAAGTATGCTTACAGCCACGAGGCGGCAGATGGGTGGAGTTCACGATGGAGTGTAAGAACTATGGCCATCAAATCGGACGTATGGCTCGGCAAACATGGCACTCTGCGCCTACTGTCCCATCTTCCTGAAGGCACGCTCTTAATGGATTGGAGAGCATCTCCCATCACCACAGCGGTGAAGAACCTCATCGACAAAGAGAGACCCCATCGCGAGTATTCCGAGAATGTCCGAAAAGAAGCGCGTCATACAAGACCAGTCCCTCTTTTTGTGATGTCGAATCCATAGAATACTGTCTAAAAGAATAGAGCTACTGTGTGCAATTCGAGATGACGGCTCCATCTGTCCACACTTGTGAACGTGGCTCATGTACAAAGGGGCCAGAGCTGACATGTGCGATGCCGGCCTCCGTACATAGATGAATGCAACACGAGTACTTCGATACCCCACACTTTGCTGTGAGAGAAACATATGTTGTAGTTCATTTGCGTAAGCGTGACCGATCTTCGAAACGCGGAGAGTGCCAGACAAACTGCAATGCTGCTGAGAAACTGTCCCCCTTCGTCCAACCCTTATTACTCGTTCCCGCAGCGTAAAGCGGCGCCCATTTTAGGCTTGAAAGGGGTTGAAGCCAGGGCATAGTTGGTTTGGCGACCTCGAACAATATCTCCATGTATGCCGCCCTGCTCACGGCAATAGAGACCAAAGGTCTTGCAGGTCGGCGAGCGTACTGCGGCATCTCAAACCACCTCCACGACATCTGAGATGGACACACCTCCCTCACCACCACCACCACCCTCGAAACCGCAACCGCCAACACAATCCAGCCACCGGACCGGCGAATCCATCCCTCTCAACTCGCCCCTCCGAACCCACCCCAAACGAGGCCTCCCTCCCACATTCGCCTCCACCTACCCCCACGGCCACATCTCCGGCCACCCCCGCACCGCTGAGCAGCAAGCCGCCTTCGACGCCCGCAAAGCGGAGATCCTACGGACGATGGGCAGGCAGGATATCGAAAAGGCATACGAGGATGTGGTGTGCAGGATCCGGGAGGAGCTGGAGGAGAGCGAGAGGCGGGGCGGGGAGGTGGAGAGTGAGATGGAGAAGTTGAGGATGGAGAGGGAGATGGAGCGGCGGGTTTGGGGGAAGTTGAGGGGGATGAAGGAGAGTGGGGGTTGAGGGGCTTATTTGGAGGAAGGGTTATTCGGGGGAGAGGACACGGTCGTTGAAGATGCACACTGTGGTGGGCAGGGCGGCATGGGTGCGGCGATGTTTGGATGGGCACCTACCGATATCGCACGACGCATCTCGCTCTATTACAAAGGTGGAAACTATGACTTGACTGGAGCCGTTTTCTCTGCCGCTTGTCCGGGCGCAGGGTTCAAGAAGCCTCGAAAGTAGTGACGCGTGTGCGCACTTTACATCGACGATTCAAGAGTCTCGATCAGTCAGCCGGACTCGAATTCTGTACATCCTTACTACCATGTACGATGGGCGTCAGAAATCCTACTCCCGCATCACCTTTCTCCGAGGCCTCGTAGGAATACTGGAGACCATCTGTGCTTGCACTACCACTGCTATGCCCAACTAGAGTTCCTGAGGGTATCGCACGCTTCGCTGTTGTCGACCTAATGATCCATCTAGTGTCTGACTCTCGCGAGCTCTATCCGCGTCAATACACGAATCTACCTTGTGCGACCTCGAGGATCAGCTTTTTTGAGGTACCGCTGCCACCGGGTTCTTTACCAATGCTGGTGCAGAGACACCCTTCGCATCAGATGATGTTTCTGCTGCTTCTGGACGAGCGGAGGCTCAGGTTGCTGGCATCGTCGTTACCTGAATGCGTCATCTGATAGTGCATGTGGGCACTGAAATTAGACCCTAGGAATGTGTCCGTGCTTGGGTGACTTCGATAGCGACAATGAACACGGTGGGCTGTTGAGGTTACGGGTTCCAATTCATCTGCGATCTAGACCCAGGGGAGGTATTGCACGAATGATTGATCGAGTGCGTGGTGTGCTTGGGGCAAGACTTGATTCCAGAACTACGTATATCGAAGCTGGCGAGCACAAGGAGTTTGCAGATCAGGACTCAGTTCGGAATGGTGCACTGACAAATCTCTGCAATAGAGTCTCAGAAAGGGACTTGGAACGAAGGGTGCTCAATTTCGTAGATTCTACGTGCGCACCATATGTGACAGTTAAAATATTCTGTCAGCAGACGCTAAACCTTCTACGACACTGTTCCAATATCCTTGGGGCTCTCCATTGCTCCAAAGCTACCAGCAATTTTCCCAGTCCTCAGACCGTTGAGTTCAACACCGATTGAAAGCCCACGGTCGAAGGTCCCATCGACCGTATTTCCGAGGCAATGGCTACTAAGGCAGGGTGTGATTGCTATGCTTTACCGAACATCCTCCGCGCCCAGCAGTGTTCTATATGGTAAGAAATTGTCGACCACCTACTCATATGCCTTGATCGGATGCAGAAGATATCTTGCAATGGTTGCCTGGCATCACGAAAAGAACATGGTTCCCAAGGTTCACAAGTACCAGATAAATCAAAAGAGCGGACAGATTCATAGCCAAATGAGCCTTCTGTCCTTCTTGTCTAATACGGAAAGCAAGATTCGTACCTCTGGATTTGCCAAAATCGGACAAGTCCGCCAAGCATTTGGGTTTCCCAGCATTCAATCAATGCCATGGCCTCCTACAAAGCGGATTGGTCTTCCGACATTGGGAATCAGCCCTAGTAAAACCCGTTATAACACAGATGACGAGTTTTCTGACACCGAGGCTTCTCGTGCTCCGAAGGCCACTACTATCACCTCTGAGGCAGGAAACAAAGCTTTTGACATCAAAGCTTTTCCTGCTCCGGATACCGCTACCGCCATGGCCATTGCTCCCATCGCTGCAGAGCCAGTTGCACTGAAGCTACCGAAACACCAGACAAGACCGAGCCGCTCGCGGAGATCTTAGACCCTGAGAAAACAGTTGCGACTTATGGGTTTGTCTGGCATTACGATCATAACCCAGTTTTGGTACCGCAAGAAATAACGCAAAAGGATTGGAGATCTGACTCGAAAGAGCTTGTTCAATTCTACACTATAAAAGAAACCCCACCACAGAGCAGCGATGGCAGCAGCGCTGAAATCGACGACGGTGACACTTACTTCTCCACGCACAGAGCCGGAGTTCGCCTTCCCAGGAACAATGAAAAAAGAGTGACGTTCGGTTGTCGCTTCAATGAAAGTTACAAAAGGCTTAAGGGCGTCAAGGTCATCAGGAGGAAGTCGATAAACGCAGACGGTACCAGCTGGCCATTCTTCGAAGACTCGAGAAGACTTGAAGACTTGGCCCTACGTCTGAGGGATGAAGGAGATGAGAAGGGTTGTTACTAAATTGATATCATAACTCGCCAAAGGTCCCACCGTGACTCCAGCGACATGCCACATCTGACCCTTTCAGGAAGATGAAAAGTCGTTGATGATGATAAGAGTGAGCCGCTGAGTTCAGCGAGGAGGAAGCTTTGAGGTTGGTTCATCGCAAGACTCCGGAGCCCTACGAGATCGAGGAGACTCCTGAGGTTGACGACGTTACTGAGATTGAGGATGACACCGATTTTAGTGATCTCACTAATATTGAAGAGGGTTCCGAGATTCTTGAGACTCCCGAGCTTGAAGACGTTTGGGGGTTTATGGTCTTGTTTAGTGATGACATGTGGTAGGAATGTGGTATTCGGAACGTACCCTACACAGGAGGCTTTGGAGGAGAGCAGAGTGGGAAATAGATGAGACGCAGCGTCGGCACTTCGGGGTTTGTATCCACGTTCGCCCTCGATCCACGAGAAAATGCAAGACACAAAAACATGTCAGACAATATTTGCTCCTGTCACAAGTGCCGCCAGATCAGGGGCCTCCTCTCCATAGCATGGGTCAAATCCTGCGTTTGCTTGAGCCTAACAAATATGTAAAAACAGTTTCAAGCCCAGAACATCTACCATTCATTCGGTTTCTCATGAATCCTCTACCACGACTTCAATCTATAATATCTGATCAATCATTCGCGGAATACAAGAATCATACAGTGTTCTCGGTCCACTAAGCATCTACCCAATCTTTCATGTGCCGAGCTCACAATTGCACAAGTTCATGAAATGAAATTCCAAGTACAATGGCCAATCCTATTCGTATCGAGCAGGAACAGAGCAAAGGACTGTGACTGTATTCAAAGGCTCAAGCTAATCTAATAGGCTTTCTACAAGTTAGGTTTTGATAAATGTCTCCTCACTATCGTCAGGATTAGTCACGGCGGGAAGCCCGCGGCACGACACCTGCTCTTCCCCAATATCCATTTGGAGCACCTTTGCCAAAGTCCTTCTGTACTTCTTTGGGCCCCACCCAGCGCAAGAATCACATTTACAAGCCACCTCTAGCACCATGGCAACCATACCACCACCACAGAGACCACGTCCGTCACGGTACTGAGGCTCCTTCAGCACCCACCGTCACACCACTAACGATGCTCCCCACCCATTTTTCGTTTCAAATCGCCACCAGCTGGTGTTACAGATCAGAACAGACAATGCTCAAGCAGAGAAAACCAGCCAAACAGTCGTTGCAGAAATGAAGACATATTGCCAAGCATTGCCGTGATACATACACAGAAACCACAGGATTTCTCACTCGCGACTGTACATACTATATGGAGACAAGAAAATGATAGTACTATGAGAAGGGCGAAGTCCTTTCAAATGTGGTGAGCAGGGATCGTAGGCTTAGCGAAATCGAGAAGCATAGTATAGTATAGCTCCGCAGGCACTTGTGACGATGCACAACGTTCCGATTAAGATACCTAAGTCCAATCAAATTCGTATGATTCTATAGGCAAGACTATTCCCTCAAAGTGTCTCGCTAAGAAGCTATGCTGGACTGCATCCTCGCGGCAGGACTGCCGTAAACGAATCACAAAGCATGAGGAGAAACTGCTTACTACAACAGGAAAAGCGTTTCATATACCACTCGTTTGATCGTAAATAGATTTATAGCGGAGACATGACAGGTTGAAAAGTAATTCGATGACTCGACCTGTCCAACAAAAGTCGTCCAAGCTTCAGCAAGGGGACAACAAGCTAATTCACAACATTCAAAAACAAGCGAGGAGCAATTCTCCATCAACAGGCATTGAAGCCATCTCGGAAATACAGGTGCCAAGGTGGAGTCTTGATGCTGTACTATGCCGATACGAGTACTCTACAACGGCATGATTGCCAACCCTTCAAAGTAAGCTAGCATAGAGTATTCGTATCACCATAAAACTTTTTCCGTTTGCGGAGTCGTTGCGCTCGTCAAGAAGAGCAATCTATGTTTTAGATTTGTATCGCATTTACACTGGCAGTTAGGGAATTGTGGGTTGAACGAGGTCTCTTTAGGGATTATTTAATATATCTTGATCAAGGCTATGTATTAAAATAACACATCACTTTCCATCGAAGCGAGAAGGCGTTAGTGGTTTAGTGGTAAAATTCGTCGTTGCCATCGACGAGCCGGGGGTTCGATTCCCTCCTAACGCATTTCTTTTTGCGGGTTCGATCCAAAGTTTTTGCTCATCTCAGGAGTAAAGGTATCGAGAATTATTCAGAGCCATGGCACTTGACAAAGGCGTGCTTTTTGGGAGTCAAAAATTGTGCCGGGATTTGCCGAAGTTTCGGCGCTAATGAAGGAGGCTTGGCATTGCCAAATGTCCTCGAGTCTATTTGTTTACATTGGAGGGTTCGTGAAATGTGTGTTTTCCAACATAGGTCACTATGACTTCGAAATTTACTTAATATCAAGACTTTGACCATCTTGGATCCACGCCATCTCCAGAACAAAGCTATTAGCCTATTGCTTTTTCGCTTGGCAGTTGCAAGCGGACATTTTCAAACAATGCCCACTCCGGACACTCCCATGACGTTGACGGGGTCGAGCTTCGTCAAGGTCGTGCAGAGTCAGGCCGACGGCAATCTCTGTCTGTCGGGCTCCCGTAATGCAGCATTGATTTAGCTAGACATGCCCACGAGCGCACAAAGACGGAGGCTGCTGCACTGGCCACATGTATTGAGCTGGAAGATTTCGTCTCTTCTGAATGACATCCCGAGAAGCGCTGGGGACATCACTGACCTCGGGTTGCAGTGGGAGCGTCTTATGATATCCTAGGAGCTTCGTTAACGGCCGATCGAAGGACAAACATACGCCCATTCCGCGCGAATCTACTCGGCTCGACCTGTTCACCAAGCGGACAAAGTTTCTTCGAACGATGCTTCAGTGGATACATCGATCATAGCCACGGAGTCATTTCAACACGCTCTGGAATTGAATACCCACATCATTGGCACTGTCCGATACACCACCTCCAACACAGGATGGTTTGTTCAGTAGCTTGCTGATGCTGGCCTCGATAGGCAGAAATCTACAAGATTAACAGCGCCTTACAAGTGCATGCTTTTATCGAGCCAGTCGGATTTCAATGTTATGTTGAGGAATTGGATGATCTATTTGATTGAGCAATGCTAACCGTCAACTTCTATACTAACAATTAGACTCATACTCTCTTCCCTCCAAATGATAAACAATCATCAAATCAACGTTGAAATCCAATCTGCACAGGCACAAGCAAAAGGAGACAGTTCAAACCAAAGCTCCACGAAGCCCCAAATTCAACCTTAGCTACCGCATCCGCAACCTTCCCATGTTGCTTTCCGCCCTCCCGTCCCTGTTTCTGCTGAGTTTCAGCCTAACCGATTTGCAAGCTCATGAGCGACTTCGTCCGGGACCCACCCGTGGCGTAAGTGGTAATTTTTGTAACTCTCTTGTTTCCAAAGGCTTGATGATGATCTTGGAGCATGCGTGCTACCGGACGACCGTTGTCGGTCCCCATTAAAGCTTTGTATTGGGCGCTTCCCGGTAGCCAAACGCCGGGCTGGTTGTTACGGAGTTTGGACTCTGTATGGAATTGTTGTATAGCATTATTAGTGTCATCGTTCCGGATGTTGCGTTGTATCACCAAATCCAATCGAGGGTTCCCTTCCTCCAGGTTCCATGCTTGGAATGCTTGATCGGACCAATGGATTCTCTGGCCCTGTGGTAGGTTATCCTTGTTGGCGTAGCTCACTTCGTTAATCATAGTGCCTTGGTCACCGCTGACCTCCAAGTCCAGGATAGGGTTTTTCGGATCGCCTCCAACTTTATTGATGACAGTGTATTCGGTATAGGTGCCTGACCTTGGGTTCTTGCTCCCACCGGACAATGCTGGATCGCGTAAAATTGGACCGAGATCTGGCGCTGCTCTCATGGCTTTAACATCGGTCACTTTGTAAACATTTTTGAAGTTGGCTGCGTTTTTGTCGGGGGTGTTTTGACTGATCGCGTTATTCAAATTCTCAATGGCGGTATCTCCCCTAGCCTGTAACTCTGGAACCGTTAACGGTGGTTTTGGACCACTCGCTGCGCCAGCAGCAGGTGCCGGTGCCGGATCAGCAGATGTAGGATCTTCTGGTGCATCATCCCCTTGGGTTCCAGAAGCTTCTTCAGTCGCAGGGGCATCTGTCATGGACACATCGGGGTCGATGGGGTCGATGTCCACGCGCCGCTCCAAGCTGAGACTTGACAGCTCGGACTCTACTACACTCGAGTCGTCAGTCTAGTACTGTTGGACTGTCTGTCGAAGAAGGGCCAAAAACTTACGAGGTCTAGAAGACGCTCTGAAGAATAACCCACCAGCGGCAGCCACGAGAAGGGCATGCCGTAGAGTGAACCGCATGTTGAAGACGGTAAATGATGTTTTTATTCGCGCTCGAGAGTGATCTTATCCTGCGAGTCTCGTTCACGAACGCTCAGGAAATAGACAAAGACGAACGGGTCCTGGGAAATTGAAGCCGATGAGGATGCAAAAGTTGCTGTTGCTATTGGAACCTGCGATGGTGAAGCCGATGATGATGAAAGACTTGCTATTTACAGGCGGGAAACACTAGCTTTTTTATAATCCAGATGCTGGTGAATCTCTTATCAAATCCGAGTCTGATCCATATTCTTTCCAAAGCTCACAGCATTCATCTTTTCTAGCATTGAAATGCTCCGCCATGTTTGAGCTCAACATGTCAATCTCGGTCCAAAGATAGCATGCCTCATATCAACAGGTTTCATGTCAAAATCCTTTTCATACACCAGCAACATGTGTGCCTCATTTAAACAGGTTCCATCTCAAAATCCTTATTATAATTTATTGAGCTGCATGCCTCATAACATCAGCAGGTTTCTTAGATCAATATCACCGTCATACACCACCGGGTTGTGTCTTAAGGAGTTGGTGACACCGGATCCTTTATTATATACGCATGGTAATTTAAAAGTGATTTGCCATTTCGCTCTTTTCACGTTGCAAATCCCGGCCGTGTTCGAGCCAAAGAGAGCCTTTTCATCCAGAGATGAAAGTGCCTTCGCTCTTCATGCGTAGGCTGCTCATTTGGAGCTGTTTGTATGTATCATGCTGCAGCCCAAGATCCTACCGAAGAAATTGGCAGTCCTCCATCTCAAAGGTCTCAGGCTGCCCACCGAAACCACGTCATCTGATTCGGGGCTGTGTTAAATTGTCTTCACACTCATCTACAACAAATGCACGACCAACCCTGGTCCATTCTCTCTGATCTCATCCTTCATCATCCCAGACGTATCAGAAACGACAACGATCGCTTCGAATTTCCAAACCAGTCTCACCACTTCGACCAACTCAACCCATCTAGAGGTCGAAAGATGGGATACTAAATCAACACTGCCCCTTTCATACGAACAAGATGGCCCATCGCATCATCAACGGCATAGCAGGCATCGGCAATATCGCCGTACCCTGGGAAGACCCGAACCAAAGCCACGTTCTTCACTTCGCAAAGTACCGCCGTCCAGGCAGGTAGTGGCCGTGGAGACTACACCGGGGGACGCATCCCACATTTGGCTCTGTAGGACGTGCGAGGCAATCGCATAGGGTAGTGACACGGCGACGCAAACAGCCGCCTTGATTCCGAAATAGTCGGCTATTATAACATCGCACGTGATCAGGACAGAAACCATGTTGTGCATGCTCAATACGTCATGCTCGCCCTGCATAAAAGCGACGCTATTGCCATTGCTTTCATCATCACTGTGAGTAGCGACGGCACGGAAAGGACTTGGCCTGGCGACATTGGCCAAACTTGCAAAGCCGATTGGTACACCCGCAATTTCAAAGTCGGAGATTGTACCTAGACTCCCACCCTCATATCTATCGATAGCGTCCCACAGCAACAGACTCATTGCCCCTCCTCTCCACAAGCCCGCCTTCCCGAGCTCACAAGCCGGCACAGTTCCAGAGGACCCCAGATGACGGACGCGTTGTGCAGGAGCAATGGAAGAATGACGTTCTGGCCTCAAATCATGGCTGACGCTCTGGTGGAGGACTGACCTTCCAGCCGCTATTGAAAAACGACAGCAACGGAGACCTGTCGGAAGTGATCGACAAGGCAAACGAACGCCCTTTCCGACCCGAAAACAGCAACTATGTAGAGCAAACGTGCCAGGGAGCCGCTGGTTTGCAAAGCGCCCGAAGCAAATGCAACCCAACTCATCTAATCCCTAGCGACAACCCGCTGCACAGCGCCAAGGGAACTCGTGAGCATCTGAGGTTATTGGGGCCCTAGGGTTGAGTGTATCTGTTGAGGGTATTTACTATGAGAGATCCATTGCGTTCAGGAATGGTGTCGCTCGCGCTCTGCTGCTTCAACTCAACGCCTGCTTCGACGTGAAGACACAGACTGGGCAACGCACGGGTATGCAAGGGGCGGAATCGCGGAGATGAGCCGATGGGAATGGAAGTCCCAAACATTGCGAGTAGCGAAGGGACTGTGTGAGGGGAGACAGCATCATTCCTTTTGAATGTAGGCGCTGTACAACATATCGAGATAAACGACCTACAGCATTTGCCTACAGCGAGGACCTGCCGATATTACCATCGGCCAGGTTTCCAATCCCAAGCTCCACCCACCGCCCATCTCATCCTATGAGTTTCATCAATCAGCCTTGGCAGGGCAACCCACACGCGCCGCACAAAGACCAACGAACCACCATCGCGTTAATTTCCGGAATACGTCCACAGACGATGATGCGATACGATTACTTTTGGTGTCAACATCATTCTGTCAGTACCTTCTCGGAAGAATTGCCAATCTCTATAACTGTTCTTAGGGGGGTTATCTCAATACAGCCTAACATCGACCCACAGATGCCCGTACCACATGAAACACGCCCTCCAAGACAATCTCTACCTTACCCGTTCATTTGACACGCACTAGTGGGGCCACACCCAAGGTCCTTCTATTACCTTTTCGATCACATCACATACCAAAGGTACCGTACTGCCAAGAATGTTATCCAGCCTTCTGCCAAGTCTCCGACTCAAAGTCGATGAGAAACATCCGACAACGCTGGGTTGAACATTTGAAGGGGCGAAAGACTGAACCACGATCTGCGCTTTGCGTTGATCTCACGACGCAGCTCAGATCTGGGACGTTGTTTCTACGTGGCCGCGAGCGCAGGCTTGGATGGCGTGCATTCGCGCGGTAGCTGAGGGGCTTCGTGCCTTTTTCGGTAGTCTCCGATGGATGACTTGCGTCCGTGCATTCGTAGTGTCGTACTTACGTATTGCATGATGTTAAAATTATACACAAGGAAACAAATAAGTAATCTTCGTGTAAACAGAGCGTTTTCAAAGCTAGGATCGATTGAGAGGGTCTGCATTGAAAAGAGCAATCCCGAACTTCGTCAAGGAAGCGTATCCTCAGCTTCCAGAGCCGGAATCAGACAAGTAGCGAAACATACAGTATCCCCAGTATAGAAAATGATGGCGTGAGGGTTAGGCATAGGCTCTTCTGTATAATGCATTCGGCGGTGCGATTCTATGTTGCTCGTTCCGACAGACTAGCGTGCCGAGGAAGACTGTTCCATTAGCGATTGGCAGTATGAACATCTTTTCATTTATTGAAAAAGTAGTAAACAATGATAATACAGATACGTGGCTATCATATCAAGCGACCGTGAACCGTTCATCCAAGCCCCTCAGAAACTACGGTCCGATACAAGGGAGAGTATCTCTGAGCTAGAAGATTTGATAACATTGAGATTCTCATCAAGATGATATTGCCAACCGACTTAGACGACTTCAGCATCCGCATTGATTTTAGAAAGTGAAGAGCAAGCGATCTGAAGACAACCCAGGATGCAAACGTTCGGAGCAAATTGCCAAGGTACGAAACGACTCATCGACGTCGAGGTCATGCATGGGACAGACCTTCTGCGAAGCTGGGACAAAACCTCGTGGTCCTTCGAGCTCGGCCGTTTGAAAAGGAAGTCTTCGCAAAAGCAGTGCGTGTCATGACGCCATATTGGTGACTCCTCTTCTCTACAGAAGAACATTGACTAGTGGAGATGTGTAGATCTTGAACCAGGAGTTTGGGCGATGAAAGATAAGGTAGTCGCCCGTCCACGCGAACACCAACCACCCTGTGCTTGATCAATTACACCATGACAAGACCATGTATGCTTGACAGAGAAAAGTTTGATTCAACCATGTCTCTCAATGCTTCAGAAAAGGTGGAGGTGACGGGTGTATTGGGTAGGTACCATCCAGAAATTTCTCACCCCAGGCACTCTTTAGTGGGTCCACCCATTGCGCTCCAAGCTCAAGCAGCACCTTGACCATACTTTTCTGCCCGTGTATCATTGCATTGAGTATTGGTGGAGGTTCCGAGTCGCCGGGAACACCGTCGACGTTGACACCTGCTTCTGCTAGAATACGTACCACTTGCTCGTGTCCCTGTATGACGGCGCGAAAGAAGGCGTAGTCACCACTTTCATCGACCGCCAGATCCGCTCCATTGTTGAGTAGAAACCGCATCATGCTCAGTTGTTGGTTCTTGGCGGCCTCCCAGAGAGGGGTGAGGCTACGAGACCCAGAAGAGTTGATGTCGGCGCCGTTGTCCAGGAGCATCCGCACTACCTCTTCATGTCCGTTGCTCGCTGCTGCATGTACGGCATGCCACTCATTACCGTCGTATTGAAGATCTGCTCCCTTCTCAAAAAGCAAGGACACGACGGGTACATGGCCGTAATAAGCGGCAGATTCTAGAGCGCGTGAACCTCCGATTTTTGTGGCATTCACATCAAGTCCTTGGTCAAGCATGATTTGGACTAGTCGAAGATGACCGAACCTACAAGCCATCCATAGTACCTCATATTGCAAATTCGATATGTTAGTGAAACTACCCCTTTCAAACAAGCATTTCACCATATCAGTGTGACCGGCATGAGCGGCGTCCATTATAGCATTCTCGTATTCGGCTCCTGAACTTTTCAGATTGTATACAGGATCCAATAGCAGTCGAACAACTGGTTTATGATCTTGTCGTGAGGCTGATCGTAGTGCCACATAGTCGATATCGGCTCCTTGCTCGAGCAAACACAGAGCAATTTCGTGATGTCCTTGTGCGGCTGCCGCTTGCAGAGGGGTGCCAAAGTAGTTGCTTACACAGTTGACTTCAGCTCCCTTGGAAAGCAAGATTTCGAGCGCTTCCAAGCTCCCAAGCAGTGCTGTCGCAATGATGAGGTCATTTAGATCGTGAATTGCTTGGATTTGCCCTTGGCATGAGGAGGCCATCAACTGTGCGGTTCTAAGGGAGCCGAGATGGTTCACCGCTGCTGTACAAAGCGTGTATTTGACGCCATCTTTTGGTAGATCTATTTGTTGCCGGTATGTACCATTTATCGATTCAGCTGTTCGACGGATTGCTAGAATAAGGGGGTTTTCATCGATTCTAGGGTTCTCAACTCTTTTGAGCAACAGCTTGGTCATGATTGGTTTTCGTATATAAGGGAATGGTACACCCTTGCGTTCGGCGATTAGTTGGCGTGCGAGGATTACATCCAGTATCTCGTGATCGAGCCGTACTAATGAAGTCATTACCATGATAACCTTCTTGGGGGTATTTACGTACCATTGACTAGTCTGAGGGTCAAGACTTTGTGCAAGCCAAGAGAATCAACAAGCTCATCGACCACTTGACGAAATGGTAAACAAGGTAAGTTCATCCAGCTAATCTTGCACGGAGACATTTTGATATCAGCAAGGCTGATCAAGAGGTTGTGAAAGCGAAGAATGACTATTCTACACTCATGCAAGGCATGATGGCAACACCATTGAACACGTTGAAAGTCCAGCCTTAGATTTGCCTGTCAAGATACATCATGTGGAACATGGCATTGTTTCGGAATTGCGGTTCAGCAGATGAGAGCAGAGTAAGGAGGCAACCATTTCATCTTCATCCTTGTAGGCCTTCCAGGACCAAGATCACAGGATCCAGGTTTCAGGATTCAGATTTCAGGGTTGTGAAGTACAGGTTCAGGCCAATGAAGACACTTACTCAATCCGGTCTGGGGTTCTAGCCATCTATTAAAGTAGCAGGGCCTTCTGAATAGACCAGCACACTATCAATGCAGAATATTTGCAGGCTGTGAAGTATATTCATGAAGCGACTCTACGGCAACCAACTGATGTATCGTCAAAATTACAGCTAAAGTAAGGTAAAATATTTTACAGACAACTTTAGAAGTAGCTTCGCCAAGGCCCTAAATACAAGTATTAGTCGCGGCAAAAACTCTGCCAAGCGCAGTCATCAGCTCAATTGCTCATCAAATCGTTTGTGCTTCGCCTTTCTTCTCGCGCCAAGTCATATATAGTCAATAATATTTCAAGGGACGACGCGCGACTCATTGCGACAATTGCTGAGTTGTAAAAACCGCTGGGATTTTAGAATATACGAGTACCGTTGGGAATCAAGGTAACAAAAATCGTAAAAACAATTGTACCGCGGGGAATATTCGCCGTAGAAGATTGTTAACATTGCAGGGGATTATCTGTCGTGAGATAGATATAGCTTTACCAATTCATGTACGCGTGATACGACCTTCGAGGCATGTAGAGTGACAGATAAGATTGCAATGCAGCCGAGAAATTGTCGCAGTTGAAAGGACCGATCCGCACACCACCCTCCACCCGCCAAAGACCCACACCCCACACTCGACACTGAAACTCCGCACACCAACCACCAAAATGCTCCTCTGTCCTCCCCCCTTTCCCCCCCTCTTCCCCGCATCAAAATAACCCCCCCAGCTAACCCACCCACCGTCCCCCAGTCTGCCCCTCCTGCGCCAACGTCCTCACCGTCTCGCGCGCGCCCTCGACCCTCTCCTTCCCCGAGGGGCAGAACCGGCTCGAATGCCGCACCTGCCCGTACCAATTCCTCATCGACCAGAAATACTACGAGCGGCGGGAGATGAAGCGGAAGGAGGTGGAGGACGTGATTGGGGGGAAGGATGCGTGGGAGAATGTGGACAAGGCGGACGGTGAGTGTCGTTTATACCATTCGTTGTTTTGGGGGAGGGAGGGAGGGAAGGAAGTGGAGGGCAGGGGGTAGAGGGGTAGACAGAGAGGGGGTTCAGGGAAGGAGCAGCTCTGGAAGCAATTATCGCAAGACCCGACATCTCAACGAGCGCCCGCACCACCACTACTCCTCCACCAACGCTAACGCATTCTCTCTCTCCCCCCACAGCGCAATGCCCCCGCGAAGGCTGCGACGGCTCCTCGGCCTTCTTCTACCAAGTCCAGATACGGAGCGCGGACGAGCCCATGACGACGTTCTACAAGGTGCGTGTCTGGTTCTTCTCTTCCTACGATGGGAATCGGCTCAGGTGGGAGGGAAAGAAAAATGACTGACGAGGGGAGGATGTAGTGTACGACATGTGCGCAGAGGTGGAAGGAGAACTGAAGGGGTGTGGGGGAAGGGAAGGGAAGGGAAGGGAAGGAGGGGGATGGAGGTATGAAAACGTGGTTAGGACGGGAGTAGGACAGGGAGGAGCTGTGTGTGCTCAGGAAGGCTTCACGATCGGGGAAGATTGTGCATGCCCCAGGAATCGAGCCGGCCATGCTGTCAAGGGGCCCAAGCTTTGAGAAGACCGACCTCGCCTCTCTGCAGGAAAACCAACTCATACATACATACACACTCAGAGAGACACTGCTCGAAGCGAAAAGCCACCGAAGTAAAAGAACCGCGTACGAGAAACCCCAAGTCGAGGCAGCCACGATACCGGCCATAATCATACCTAATTACGAGATAGACGCACCTCTCGATCGAGAAGGCCAACCCTCTTCGTTGAAGTTTTCTCGTCGGAACGATGAAATGTATGCACGGTGTGAGTATGCAGCCGAGCACCATCAAGCTAGCAGGTGCTGATGGAAGGGGACAGTCGAGCATTTTGGCAGGAAGGGCTATGGGGGACTGGTTCTTCATTTAGAGGGGGAGCAGGATTGGACGGAAAGCAGCGAGCCTTCATTCATCCCGAGCGAACGACTGCGATTCGATCGCGTACTGCAATGCATGCACGTCTCGAGCGATAGGAGTGCAAAGATCTAATGTACACGCCATCCTGCTTGAAGCCGACGCCCCTGATGCAAAAGGAATCCATACCCATCAGCGCCAGGCTATGCAACGTGTGTTTCCCAATCCATGCAGCCCCAAGCGTATCTCTCCCCGTGCCCACGTCCATTTCCAACCCATCACTCGCTGTCACTCGCGCTCCCCGTCGGCCCTTCCTCATCCTCCCCGTCCCGACCCACCACATCGTCACCCGCCATCATCGCGAACTCGGCTTTCTGCAGCGTAGACCTCAACTCCGTATTCCGCGGGTCGACGAGCTCGAACGGCTTCAGCTTCGCCTTGTTGCGTATCCTGTTCGGCAAAAGGACGTTAGCTTCGTAGTCGTGTTGAAATCCCATGCATGCTTGCCCATTCCCCAACCCAACCCCCCGGAAAACCCAACAGCGCAGAAAAAGAAGAAGAACGGAAAGAAAAAAGACAGAGTCAGCACCGACCTCGGATCCGCCCCGGCATCCAACAGCAACTCCACCAGCCCAGCCCCAGCCTCCCACCCCTCCTCCGCCAACCCATTCACGAACCGGACCGCCTTATGCAACGGTATATCCGCCTCCATCCGATCGACCGGATCGACCTCCAACCCCTCCTGATCCAGCAGCGTATCCAGCACCTCATCTGCCCGCCCCCCCAAAGGTCACGAATTAGCCACCCACCCCCAAAACAAAAGAAGCCACCCCCCAAAACAAGTGAAACCCCCCCCAAAAAGAAAGGGGGGAAAAAAAGAAAGAAAGAAAAAAAAAAAAAAAAAAAAAAAAAAAAAAAAAAAAAAAAAAAAGGACCAAAAACACATACAACTCCCCCACCCAGCCGCGACATGCAAGCAATACCGCCCGACCCCATCCGTCGCCTCATTCAGCAAGCGCGCGACTTGCTCCGGCGACGCCAGCGCCGCCAGCAGCTCCGCCAGCAGGGCCGTGTTGTTGCGGCGGCAGCACTCGAGGAGGAGTTCGCGCGGGGTGGCGCCCTGTTGTTGTGCGGGAGGGTGTCAGCCGGGGAGTGGGGGGGTTGGGGAAGAGGGGAGGGAGGGGGAGGGATGGGGAAGGGGGGGGGGGGGGGGGTGGGTACCTCGTCGTTCATGGCGGTTGGGGAGCGAGCTTTGGGTCGTTGAGAGGTTGGGAGGAAGGAAGGAGGGAGGTAGGAGGGAGGTCCGATCGGGGGCTGTTGTGATCTGAGGCGGAGAGGATGAAGACTGTAGAGGATGTTGGGAGGGCGAATGGGGTACGTATGTTCGGAATCGTAGCGGACGGAATTAGTTGTTGATGATGGGAGAGTAAGGTAGGTGGTCGTGTTTGAGGCTGACGCAAATGGAAATGCGAAACACGTTGTAGGAGTCGCGCGTCCTGTTTCAGCCCTATGAGGAAACGTCATCTTGCACTTCCATTTTTCCTGCTGCAGAGCGCTTGGTTGAGAGTGTTGCAGACGGAGGAGAGAATATTGTTATGGATGTTGTCAGGACTAATGCCATGCTGAACTATGCTATGCTGAACTATGCGATACTGTGGTTCTCGCATTAAGAGCTCCTCCATCAGCGCCTGAAGTGAATCTCCATCCAACGCGACCTGATATCGCCTCCGGGTCCTCCCTTCCTCCAGCTTGTTCGCTGCTGACTGGGACAGCGTGAACACCGATGATCTCATGTCTATTTGCCATTCCATCAACCCTCTACCTCCCCACCCTCCAGACACCTGATCATAGCCCGATCCTTCAACCCCCTCTCCTCCGCCTCCAACTTCCTCATCTCCTGCCTCGCTTGATCTTTCTCGAAGAGATTATCCTGTTGCTGCAGCTTCAACCACGCTTTATGTCTCTCGCAGCGCTTCTTTTTGCAAACGCCGCGACCGATTTCTTCCTCCTCTTTCTCCGCATCCTTGGTAGCCTCGTTACCGTCTTCTCTCTCTTTCGGTGTAGGCGCTCCCAGGACCCCATCCGTCTGCAGCGCTTTCTGACCTTCAGGCGATGCGCGCCACTCATTGAACTCCTCTTCAGACCAGGTCAATCGGGAGTCGTAACCACAAATGTTGTTGATGGATTTATCCTGCTCTTTCAATTCCCCAAGCACGTTCTTCGCCCGGGCAGTAATTAATAGCAGAAGCTTGTCACGATCATCCAGTAGCTTCCTCCTCGCTTTGCAGCGAGCTTTCCTTTCCGCAATGCTCGCCAGCTGAGCCGTCTCCTCTGGAGTGAGGGTAGCTTTGGGTTTCTCAATTTCCGCATTTTCCATCTTGACATCTTGCCCTTCTGGACTCGCCGTGGCAGGCGGACTCAGCACCCCATCACCTAGTCTCCGAAACGCATTAAGATCCTTCGATCTATCAGTCAAAGCCTTCAACTCTGACGGCTTCAGCACACCGCCCAGATGCGCATGATCATCATCGGAGACCTCTTCAGTATTGCCGAAATTGTCAGTATAATTGTCGCGCCTCCTCTTCTTATTGCTGCCCGGTCGATCCTTCTGTTCTGCGGAGCATTTACCAAGCGCGAGGATCCTCATGAACTCAGCTCCATGTGCGTCCGAGCAGTACTTCGACTTTACTTGGCCCTCTGATCCATCACGTGCGGGTTCACTACACCCTTCAAGACGACACATCCGTTTCCATAGAGTCTCATTCCCTTTCTCGGCGCAATTCGGGCCTGATATGGTCAGCAGGGTCCACGTCTATCGCAAGGTTAGGCAACTCACAATACCACTTGGAGATGAGTTTGGTCTTTTCCGCAGGCATATCCACACACCGACCGTGGAACCAACCATCGCATGGTCCATCACAGGCAATCATGAGAGTATGATCGTCTGGCTTGCGGCATATGCAGAAGAGCTCCCCGTCATCTGTGGCATCGTCATCATCCTCCTCACCATTCAGTACGGACGAACTCCGCGCAGGTGTCTCCGATCCTTGCTTGCGGTTCTTGGGCACCGGAGTCTGGCTCGCACGACTCGTTGCAGGAGTGCCCGTATGTTGCGCTGATGGTGTACCATCAACACTCTCACTTTCGATCTTGCGCTTCTTCGCAGGCGGCTTCACTGTGTTGGCAGTCCCCTTCTTAGGAGCTGCCCGCTTCTTGCTCGGCGCTGATTTCGCCTTCATTGCAGCAGAGTCTGCCGGAATAGGTGATGGAGTATGGCTTGCGTCTTTCTTGATGTCTGTGATACTTTTGAGGGTGGGGGTACCGGTATTGGAAGGTTGATCAAAGGCGATTGTAGAACCTTCCACGGCTTGCCCGTCGTATTGTTGAGGCGTTTCCAGAGGGATCTCTTGCATCTCTGCTTTGATCTGAACTTGATCACTTTGAGTCTTTGGTAGAGTTGAAGCTAAGATTGAATCTGAGGGTCCTTGTGAGGGTTGTCGTATTTGTGAGGTAGCCGGCGCGTCTGAATTTTGGTAGGGTTCTTGTTTGTGGGTCTCGCCGTGAAGTCGTGATGATGACAACGCTACCTGTTCCGACGTATCACCATTGGCATATCTGATGAGATCGTCTTGTGCCGTGGCACCTGGCGCATGTATTGAAAAGGAACTACTTTGGTTTGGTGGTGATCGTACGAAAGGCGGAAGTCGAGCGGAGTAGTCAGTCTCATTTGATAGCTTCCTCTCGCCCGTAGATGAATGATGGTATTGTTCTAAACCAGAGGCATGTGTAGAAGAAGGTTGATTTCCAGCGTGAGAGAAGTCATTCGTAAGTGGAGGTAAGGTATGGCTGGATCCAGGTCTTGACCCGTAGTGATTGAAAGTCTGATACGACATCGACTGCGCAAAGCTGCCACTCTGAGGAGGCGAGAGTATGGGAGCGGTACTGCTCGCAGCAGCAGCCAGAGCTTCGAGCCCAGGTGACGTCAAGGACGCAAATGGTGTCGGACTCGCACCATGAACCTCGGACGAAGAACGATACCCGGCGCGATGATCCTGTCCATCCAAGACCAACGGTTGAGGAACCTGGGGCGGAGAACGTTGCGCAGAACTCGGGGCGGGGTTGAGGAGTTCAGAGAGTTTGGACATGATGGCGCGGAGTGGCGCTGGAGCCTGTTCGTCGCTGTTGACTCAAGCAAAGGGGGTCAAAAAGGTACGCGATCGTGTTTGTGCATCTGTGGATGGCTTCTGGGGGCGCATTGTGGTGGGTGGATGGGGATGCTGGAAGTCTCGCCGTGGAGAGGGTGTTTCTGGTTCGCGATCTTCGAGGACCAGACCCAAAAGTTAGCGCAGAGTTGGAAGGCGAGATCGACAGCAGGGATTCTGCAACGGCTTTTGTGTCACGTGAGGAGGGAAATCTCAGCAGTTCTGCCTTGAGATGGTTTTTGGTCCGTTTTGCGGGCAAGCTCTACACGGAATTACCAGAGTCATCCTGTTTGCTGTTAAAGAGAATAGAGAATCACTGAAATCGGGAACAGTGTAGGCGAAAGCCATGAGAAATAGAGCGCCGTCCAGCGGAAGTTCATGTTTCGAACCGTTTTGTATTACTGTATTTGACTCTTATGACAAGCAGTGTACCATATGCTGGATATCATCTATCAAAGACCGCCGCTGTAAGGCACGATCTGACACGCATGTTCCCAAGCTCCAAGCGCCAATTCGTGATGGAGATCATGCGTGAAGCAACCGAGCAATAGCAGGTCTGGCTCCCACGGGCTCAGTATCCCTTCTTTCCTTTCTCACCGATGCCAGTCTCTCCAGCGGTCGAGTAATAAACAGTTTGAATGGCGTCAGAGGTGATGTCACTCCTTCCTGGCTCCATCCTCCGTCCTTCAAACTCCTCGAGACCGGAACGTCATGCTTGGTCATAATGGAAATCATCGCGTGCAAAACATGCTCAACTGCCCGGTATCTGCTCCTCTACACCCGTCCGGTATTCTGTAACGATAGGTCCTTCCAGGTGGGGATCTTCGCCGTACTGATTCTCCAGCAAGTCCATTCGCCCATCAATCAAATGCTCCACGTTCAGTCTCGTGCTGTGGACAGTATTGTGTGAGTAGCCTTTAATCCTGACGCTAGACCGATTCTGTGGATCTATATCCGAGTCTCTCTCGTTAGCTCCAGCAGGCTTGTGTTCGCCGAAGATCTGCGGGAAGACGCTTATGCATCGAAAGCCTCGGTCCTTCTTTTCACACATCTCACGAAGGCCGAAATCGATGGGCTTGTTGAAGATATCCATGGAGAGATACTTCAGGACCTTGGCAGCCCCGTGGTATGAGAGAGCATAAGAGTAGGTGCAGGTGTTCCCAGCGGTGAAGAACATTATCCTAGTGTTGTCGTCGTAGGCAGACATATCCGGTATGTCTCCATAATTCGCACGGTGTTGTCGTGGGGGTACGTTGGGGTCGTTTTTAATGATGAATCGCCGGTCATCTCCTTTGATGGAGGAAGATGCACAATGGCCGAACCACATCAAGTCCCAGCCGTCACCATAAGGTGAGCGAGGGGCTTCGTCTTGGGGCGTATCAAGGAGCGCTTGGCTGCCGAGAGCAATGTACTCCATGATAGATCGGAGGTTAAAATCCCAGTCGGCATCATCTTCGATGATGATGGCTGATGACAAGCGTCTGCTGACGATCCTGAAGGCCAGCAAATATTTAGCGTGAGTTCTGGAAGACGGAGGGGGGTGGAGGCACTCTTTGGCAAAATTCATATGTCCACGCCAGCAGCCCACGACGCCTTCAATACCAGGTCTGTTCTCCCATTTCTATAGCAACTTTCAGCGTTGGGGTCTTCTTTGTTGAGGGCAGAAGCAGTCTTACACCAGACAGAGCTTTTTTCGAGATAGAATCTCCTTGAACACCCTCGAGGACATCAAATTCGAAGCCCGTTACAGAGGCCGCCAGAATCATTGCGTCAAGTTTGTCGGTTCGTGATGGCATATTGAGGACGAAGACCTTTTCGAACTGTGGAGCGCAGTGTTGTCAGTGACGGTTCCTCACCCTCCACAAGCCGCCTTGGACGTACCCCAAGAGAGGAGTTCTTCAGATCCGCAAGACTGCTGTCGGGGAGACGTCTTGCGCTATTGCTCAGAACAGGACCAGTGGATTTGGGCCTCCCGTTGAACCATGACTTCCCTTTGGCGTTTGTTCTTGAAGGCGCTAATGCTGTTGAGTTTGCGGGTTGGCGAGTGTAATCGCCCATGAGGCTGTTCGGTCGTCGGAACGCGACCAATGTGAGAAAGAGAAAGCAGGCCAGAAGAGAGAGTAGCACCATTCTCCGCTTGGCTTCCCTCCGCTCCCGACGGATCATTGTGGGACGTCTGGTTGGAGAATACGGTCTTTCACTGTCGACATAAATGTCCATAATGTCTTTGTGCGATTGTGAGGTAGGTAGTTAGATAAAGGTGGGGGGAAAGGAAATGAGAAAGTGACAATGGACATAGACCGTGAAACAAGTGACGCCAAGCAAGGGCGGACGAATGATAGGAAAGCGAGGGATTTATTCTACAGATGCCTAGACCCGGTAGGCAAAGTGTCATGCAGATCAAAAGGTACCTATTCTGCAGGTAGGTAAGGTACTTGCACAAATGTCGGACAGAAGAGGAAGTCAAGAACAAGAAAGCGAAAGTTGGTGTGGTAGACGAGAGGGTACAAGTTGCTCAGCTCGTATCCAAGGCTTGACTGCTGCGGGTACAAGTAATGGCCGATGAGATTTCAGTGTGAGTGGTATGTCGATTTGCTTACTTACGCTACTACCACATGCTTGTATACGAGATACTTTTGGTACTTTGTTGTTATGTACTTATGTACTTTTACAAGACACCCACTTTCACCGGCCCTTTGCCTGTCCACAGGTCGAGTTGCTCTCGAGTTGCATGACTCGGGTCTCGGATGACTAGATCCTGCGGCCATATCTAGCGTCCGTGCTCTAGCGGATACCGGAAAGGGAAAGCCTAACCTTGTACTGGTTAGCATATCCTGTTATAATGCTCCTTGCTCCCCCCTCCTCAAATACGCTGGACATGGTAGGTACTTGTACTTTTTCGGGAGCTTTTAAAGAAGACATGCATAATGCATGATACATGATACATGATACATGATGCAGAATTCCATGACGAGTATTTAGAGTTTAATTCAAGCAGGATACACAACCTCGGAGCGCAGGCTTATTGGTCAGTTGGCAATTGCTAATGCGAGTATTCGATAATTCGATGATCATTCATCCATCTGCATATATCAGCTTCGATTCCTAATGGCGTTGCTACAATGGTGTTACGGTGCTTTTTTATTTTCTCCTCCGATCGCGACTCACAACCGGCTCGTAGCTACCCCTACAAATCTCAACTTCTCAACTCGAGCCACCCAACTCGACTGGAGAGTATAACGTATAACGTGGGTCGGGGTCCCAAAAATGTCTATTGACGCTCTCCGGCAGAAGCGCGTCTGCGCCGCAGACCCGAACCAAGTCTGTGGCACGGACCTCTATGTGGACTGCTGCACAGCGGGGCGGGCAGCCACACGGCAGCCACCAATATTGCATTGTCTAGGTACTTGCTTTCAACAATCCGCCGTGGGGGGAGAGGTCTCCTCGTATCGCTTCCAATGATTGGCTCAAGAATATCGGCATGGTGAAATGTGTGGAATATGCAATGAATTCTAATCAAAGCTTTCCTTCGCACGCTTCCGCAATACGACTCTCTTACACATGTTGAACCTGCACGAGTCATTATTCCCTGAACATAACAATATAGAATGGCGCACACAGAGGCGACCCGGGGGGGGAAACATGTAAGCAACCTCAGAGGGATGGCAGCTGACCGTCTTCGCTTAAGCTTGGATCCGACAAAGCTCGGCCGAGACTGACGGATCTTACTCTCACCGTCATCGTCGATCTATCATTATTGGCATGCGCGACCCCGATTGACACCCACAAGGAATCCTGAATGGGTAAATAACCGAACAATCAGTCAATGGTTTGTCAAAGAGGGCACGTGCAGGCTTCTACTCGGAAGCCTGAAGCCTTCTTCAACAGAGTGGTTCCAGAATGCGTGCTTCGTGATCAAGTTTCGACCACAAGTCGAAAGATCTGTGAAAAATTGCAATAGTTGACAGTCAAGTTGCAAAAATCGCCGTGTCCAAGCAACGTCTTGAGCCGCAATGAGCCTGTCAAGGAAATAGATGACTGGGTCAAGATTTCATGGTGTGGTGTAAAAATTGATGATTTTTCTATGTGCCTGCAGGGCAGATATGTGTGGTGCCAACCCACGCTAGGCCCAATTGGGTGGTGGCTCTGGAGGAGGCCTTGGCGTACCGTGACAGAGCCGCAGTGATTGGACAATAAAAATGACAATCCCATCTCGCCCTTGCTCGCGGTACGTACCGTGCACAAGGAAGCGACGCAACGTAAATATTACGGAGGTCTGCATCACAAGCCCGTCCATGCAACCCTTCAGGCGGGGCGTAACCCGAGATCCTGTCACATGTCACAGTGGCTGGCCCGCTGCTATGGAGGTCGACACCAAAAGGTCGGTCTCCCACATGCGCTAGTAGCAACCCTAACCCTGCTTTCGGAAGGCAGCCCTGTCGCTAAAGACCTTGGAGTTACCTCGTTTCCGGGGAGCGCATAGACTGAACATGGGGACGTCTGTTGGGCCTGATAGGGGCATGGGCCCTCGAATGGGGTTCGTACGAGTCCGGCACAGCTCTAAGCGCAGTGTCCGGGCAGACCCCCGGGCGGGGCGTCATCCGACAGCTGGACCCATTTCGTGGCGGGTGCAAGACTTTTTGGTGTCGACCTCCGTAATACTAGCTACCTTACTGATTTTGAAAAGCTTGCTTTCCTCAATGCTCGAGACTCGAAGAATGCCAAGTGCTATACTCCGAACCAATCAAATCCTGTTTTCGCAAACATGACGCTAAAACATACCTTATTTGTTTCTATTTCCCAGCTGAAGCACTGCTACTTACCTTAGGTACTAAACGACTAGAGTAAACCTCCGGGTTACAGCTCGGCAGGGGTGAAAAAAAGTTCGGCAGGGGTGAAGCTTCGGCATATGCTCGCTTCACCTCGGATGAACTCATAGCATATGCTGAACGTATCCGTTTCACCCGAACGAACTCGGGCCGGGTCGAAAAAACTATGGCCACTTTATCCGAGTTATCGCATATGCTAAGTATATGCTAAGTTTAAATCTATTATTAGCAGCAGCCTCTACGAAGGCCCTACGACGTCCCTACGGGGCCCTACGGGGCCCTGCGGGGTTCCTATATAGGTTTAAATAGGGGTGTTTAGGTGTTAAGCGCAGACACTCCCGAGACTAGGCTTTTTTAGCTGAGTAGCTAACACCTCTTGAAGATTAGGCCCTTTAAAGTACAGTATAAAATTAGATGACTGAGAAATACGATGACTGAGAAATACGATGATTGAGTTATGCATATACTAAGCATCAGCATCGCATATCCTACGTGTATAGATTATCTCGCATACGTAAAAATCGCTAGACCGATTTTTTTTTTTTCACTCCCGATGAGGTGTTGGCATATGCTGAGTGTATCCCTTTTACCCCAGATGAGGTGCATATACTTAGCATCTACTCACCCCTGCCGAACTTTTTTTCACCCCTGCCGAGCTGTAAGCCCGTAAACCTCGAACATTAAAATCTCATCAATCAATTCTTTAACCCCTCATTAACACGTATCATATATTATCACTAAAGTAAGTTTGCAAACCTGTAAAGCCAAATACTCATATACGGTTTTCAACGGTGCCATGATTCTGAAGAAATCCTGACGAATTAAACCCCGAGATCAAAATATCAAATATGATCTCGAGCTTATAAGAATAGTCCCGTGGACGTGAATACTCAAAGAACCCTCGAAGAGATCCTAGAGAGTCACATCCGACCTGAAGATAATCAAGAATCTAAATCCCTCTACCCTTTCGAGAGCTCTTCGAGATGTCTAAGCTTGCTTCGACAGCCCCTGCGGTAGGAGCCCTCGAAAAATGTTCAGAGGGTCTGTGGGGCTGGGTGTCCTCCCCCTTGAGAATCAGTTCAACCCTCCACAGGAGTGGTCTTCCCACAGTCTCGGCAAGCGTTCCGTTACTGGTTAGCCGCGCATGTCTACTAGAGCGGACGATCACAGGTGTCAGCTCCAAGCCTCGCAACGCGCCATGATAAGCTAGCCTCCTTTCCTCCAATGATAAAACTCCAAGCAGCGCCATCAGCACTTGTGTGAATTGAGGATCAACAAGGTTGAGCGATGCCCCCACCCTCCCAGATTTTCCTCAACCCTTTGAAATCGGTGTCGGCCCACTCGACATTGTATCCTCTTAGCTGAAGTATCGGCTATTCGTTCAGGCCAAAAGCTTCCAGCTGGGAATCATAAATGAGCCATGACCACAGCTCAATCTGTAGTTAACGAACAGGGTCTCCGCCTGTTGTGCTTCGACGGCGGCGGGGTGCGGGGTCTGGCTTCTTTGTTTATACTGCAGCAAGTGATGTCCGTTGTCGGAAATGCGCTACCTTGCACCTATTTTGACATGATCGGAGGTACAAGCACCGGGGCGTGAGTAATGCAATAGTTCATTGACGGCAGCCCGGTCATCACTGACTCTCAAACACTGACAGCCTGATCGCCGTCATGCTTGGGTGCCTCGAGATGGACGTTCAGACCTGCATTGAGAAATACATTGAGGTCATGGATTACGTCTTTGATAATCCTACGCCTGTAATGCCTGTAAACATCTTCAGCCGAGAGCTCACTCCCAAATATCAACAGTCAAGGCTGAGAGCGCGTATACTGAGTGTGATCGGGGATTCGCGTGTCACCCAAGGCATGCCACCAGAGACCGTACGCATGAGGAGGGCAGGCATACCGTCTCACTGCAAAGTGCACGTACACCATGCGCACTTTTAAGCTCAGGCGGCTTACAGTATTCTCAGCTTCGTTGTTGCCACAGACGCCAACACCAGTGACGACGTCCAATTCACCAACTACGCCCGGCCATTCGAGCAGCAGTCCAACTACTTCGACCAGGTGACATTGTGCGAAGCAGCCCTTGCGTCCACAGCCGCGCTTTCTTTTTTCAAGCCCATGGAGATTTTCCACGGTGGCATCAGCCGCACATTCCTCGACGGCGGCTTTTACCAAAACAACCCCGTCTCAATCCTATGGCGCGAAGCCCTTGTGCAATTCAATCTCACCGACGCCGAGCTTCCCCAACGCATCCGCTGCATTCTCTCCATCGGCACTGGGAAAATCGGCCCCAAAGCCCTTAATGGCACAGTCAAGCACGTCGCGAAGAGGTTCATCGAGCTCGTTACGCGAACGGACGATACCGCAAAAGAGTTTCTTCGAGCTCACCAGGATCTAGCGACGATCCACCGGTACATGCGCTTCGATCCTCAGTACATGGAGGATATTGGGTTGGCGGACGCAAAGAAGAAGGATAGAGTTGCAGAGCTGTCGGCATACTATGGCAACAACCCGGATCACCAGACGAGGTTGTTGCAGTTCCAGGAAGCGGCAGGATCAGAGCAGAGTACGTCATACTTGGAGCATGAGGAGCAAGTGAGCTTTGCCTAGGCTCGCGGTGACATCGCGTTCGCTGTTGTATTTTTTCAAGTTACATGCGAGCCTCGTTACATGGGGTGATACTATTATGGTATCCAGTCTTGTATCCAGTCTTGGTGTGGTGTAGTGTGAAAGCTGACTTCCACTTTGCTGCTGCAGATGTGGGACAGTTGTCCATGCCTCGTGTGACGTCCGAACGCCACTTTTATAGGCTGAATGGGTCATCAACATTTTTGAAACGCACAAGCGACTCATACTGGGGTTACATCACACTAGATTCGCTCACCATATATGAGAAGATATATCATGAGATATGCAAGATTAACCCTGAAAGCAATGGCTATGTGTGGTGTGAGTTGAATTTTGAGTCCTGACATGGCTATCACCGAAGTATCAGTACCTGTCGTCAAGGAGAGCCAGTTTGCCAGAGACTTTGACACGCTGTACAGATCCGCTGACTCTCACTGTCCCGAGGATTAGACTCCATGTTCCGACGCCAATTTCGCGGCCACCACCCTCCAGTCGCCCTCATCGAAGAGACGTGGCGTCGCTTGCTCCGCAATGCTTCAGCACCAATCGAAAAAACGCCGTATCCAAAAGGTTTTGTCGTAGCAATAATATACATGTTGCACATCGAATCGCACTTCAACGACAGGAAGCCCAACAGCAGAGACGCTCGGCGTCCGGAGAAGGTCGTTCTCTCTCCCGAGAGGCGTGAGCTCTGCAAGTCTTTTGGCTTCTGGGCGCCGTGCCAGTGCGGAAGTCATTGTGGTCGAAGGTGGAATTTTGCCAACAAAGTCGGGATCAGTAAAGGCGGATGGCCGAACCGATTCTGTGCGGTTGCGATGGCAATCGCCGAGGGTAGAGGCGGAACACCTTGGTTGGAGACAAGGACAAAATGGGAAAGAGGTGGAAATTAAGGTGTTGAACATCAAAATGAAGGTAAGTCGTCTTTTGCCTTGACTGGAACTTCTCTCTAGCAGTAGCTAAGATCCTGCAGATTTGGCAAGGCACCTGTCGGACGATGGCATCGTAACGAATCAGGCTTCACCGAGCAGACGGTGATGAGAGGATCTGTTGGATCTGTTAGAGGCCAGAACAATAGAGTTCTGGCTCTGTCTTTCCAATGGAAAGGAAGGAACCGTATGAGCGGGCGCAGGTGCCGCTACCGGATCCAACGAGCCTCGGGAAGCTGTCGAGGAGCCCGGTTGTAACCAGGCAGTCAGACTGTGGCTGCGATTCCGCCGTTGTAGACGACGTCGACTCAATCGACTTGTGTAGCTCGCTTGGCTTCCGGAGTCCGTAGGTAAACCAGGCGTGCTTCTCCGAACCAAAGCAATAACGCGACTGCCTCCACTAGTGGTCATAGGAGTATGGCCGTCGAGACTGTTGCTGCTAGATACGCCGGCAGAAGCTCCGAGCGTTCCTCGAGGGCTCCTATTATTGAATAAATGTGAGGAGGCAACCGCAGATAGGGGGACTCGTGTTGACGCCGGATATTCGATCATCGGCCGTTGAGTGTGCTGAGCAGCCTGCGAGCATCTCTCTGCAGCGATCCATTCGCGGTGTTGTCGCTTCAGTCTCCGCTCGGTTTCTTGCTCAAACCTACGCTCTCTGCGTTTCTCCTCTTGCTGTAGCCTGCGCAATCTCCGCTCTTGTCGGTGATCTTCTCGTCGCTCGCGTGCCCGGCGGCAGCAGTGTAGAATGCCTCCACATCCGACATTGACCCAAAACCCGCACCAGACAAGGCCGCAGCAGACGACGAGGATGAGGAACGGGATGCCAAAACATAGGATCAGAACTATAGCGTAGGTCGCTATTGTAGTATCAGTACGTCCTCGCTGTTACAGAGTAAGGCGTCAAATACCTAAGGAGTCCGAACCCATAGTCGGTGAACGATGTGGGCGAGGTCCGCCCAAGCGTCTCGGGGTATGTCAAAAAGGCGCAGATTTGTTGTTGAGCATCAGCACGATACGGTGGATAAGTGAATGTGATGGATGGATTGCACGCCCGAGTAGCAAGATGTCGGTGTGCAACAGTTGCTTAGAATATATATAATCGAGAGACAGTGGTAACGAATGTGGCGTTCACAGGAATTAAGTGATCGAAGCGATATGAACGAAAGCTGCTGGCAAAAGAGAAGAGAGAAGCGTAAGACTGTGGAAAGGACTTGTGCTTATTTTTATGACGAGATAGTTTGGTGTGGCAGACAAAATCAGCGATCTTGCAAGAACCACAACAACCCATCATTGTTGATCTTACAAGCCATCCCACCATTTTAAATTTACAGATTTCGACTTTCTGACTGACTATGACCTAGCATTGAGGTAATTGCTCCGGTGTGTGGTGTTTTTGGGAAAAGGATGATGCCAGGTGGGGGGAAAACATTCTTGTGTCACCAACCGAGTGAATTAAAGTACCTCCCCTCCTTTTCCAACTTTTGCATTCCTCTCTATCTCCCCATATGTACCATGACTCGAAAGAGACGTCAAGATCAGACTGAGCTGGGGCCAGGTTTCTATCGTCTTATTTGCCCCAAACTCCCTTACGTCTGCCGGAGTTCCCAGAGCGTACGGTAGGTAGATACCCGATCTTATCTATCTTCTTGATTAAGTTGTGGAGGAGACTTTTGGGGGACGTCTTCATCTAACGCCGGCATGTTGGCTTCTGAGCCCTCAAGTGATACCCGCCGTTCAGCGAATCATTTCTTAGCCTGCGTTAGTGGGACGCGATTATGACGGAGTCATCCAGGTCACACTGCATGCAAGGGGCAGTTAATGCAAGGACCCAATGCTGCCTTCGTAGATTAGATTATACGAAGTACCATGCGAAGGTCTGCAACAAAAGTCCTGAACGCCGAGATACCTCCGCAAATACTTGAAGGTCGCTAGACTAACAAAGTTATATTAGTGTAACAGAGTTCAACATTCGTATATTATTTTACTATTACATAATTTTCAACTGAATCATGGTGAAAGTCTAGCAGTGCTCGACGTGCGTGAAAGTGATGTTCCTGCATGATCGATCAGAGTTGCCAAGACTTGATACTGGCTTTTTGACTAATCAGACCCCTGCCCATGTGCGTCATTGAGACCCTGAATTTCAATCCTGTTCCAAGCGGCTCTCCAACTTGGCCTACTATCCACACTTCAACATCTTCTCTTGTTCCTCCACACAACTCAAACAACACTCTACAACTTCAAAACTACATCCCACACCCCTCCATCATCTTCCCCACCCCAAACCAACCACACCAACCACACCAACCACCACCAACCACAACCATGGGCCTCCTCGACCCCTTCTGGAACGCCGTCGACACCACCGTCGCCGGAGCCGGCACCGCCGTCGGCGGCGCCATCCAATCCGTCGGCGACGGGATATCGCAAACCGGCCGTAACGTCGGCGACGGCATCGCCGGTGCGGCCGGCGGCTGGGGCTCCTACGTCAACGACGGGGCCAACTACGTCAAAGACGCGACGGGCGCGGGCGGCGTACGCGTCGGCTCGGCCGGCAACCCGCTCGGGCTGGCCAAGAGCAAGGAGGCCGCGAGAGCGGGCGGCTTCTCGAGCTACACGCCGTACAAGGGCGGCAACAAGGCGAGCACGACGACGACGGAACAGAAGGCGATCATGCCGCCGGCGCCGAGCGCGGCAGGAAAGACGGAGCAGACGAAGGCGAGGAGTGCGGTGGGGGCGCAGGTGGCGGCTGATGCGAGGGCGAAGGCGATTGCGGCCGCCAAGGAGAATTACAACAAGAAGAAGGTGGCCGGTGGGGCTGCTGCTGGCAAGGGACCGAGTGCTGGCGGGAACGCGGCTGGTCGAGGGGGCAAGGTGACCGGGAGGGTAGAGGCGTTGAAGGGCCCTGCTGGAGGCGTTACCAACGCCCCAACGAAGCCACTCGGGAACGCGGCTGGACGTGGTGGGAAGGTCGGAGGGACTGTTACGGGGAGAGGAGGTGGTGCTGCTGGTGCTGCGAAGAAGCCTGCTGGGACGGTCACTGGGAAAAAATAGGCCAGTGGTACTACTCGACTCCATGAGAAAAGGTTGCACAAGACTCGACGAGAGCTATTGGATATGAGTGAGATGTCGACATCGGCGAAGGGCTTGTAAGTTACAGCAGATCATGCGGCAGCATTTGCATTTGACGTATCATTTTCTAGCGAATTGTACAATAGGTACACAATTTGAGTTCATAGGATGTGGCATGTCTATCTATCCAAACGCTTCGCGTCCATATCACTGTCATGTTTGCTCTCTTTTCGACTCTCCTGGGCTTTGCTAATTGGGCATTTTCCATGGTTCCTCGCCATGTATCTCAGTCCTCAGCGCCGTCTCCACACCCCCTACATCTATGCAACAGGAGCGCTGGGTGACACCAGTGGTTTACTTCCAACGGCATGCATTCGCCCCAATAACTAAGCGTGCCCATATGCCAACGCTGATACCGGAACGGGAAACCAAAGAAGACACCGAGATTGCAAATGAACTCGTGGCGTTCCACCAACAACGAAGGATCCCAGACGGCGTTTGGTGGAGGCCGCACTTTCACTCTGGCCTCTCGGGAGCATCCTCCCATGCTTGATCGCCATCGACCTTGATCCTCTTCGTCGTCAGACCCGAGTTCAGCCAGAACGGCTGTAGAGGGACGAGGGCGAAACAGGGTCTTGGACGGGAGCTTCCTCAGGGGTTCCCCAACAGCTTGCCAAAAGCGTTTCGAAGGCACGGTACCACTCGTTCGGATCTTTGTCCCGGGGCTCTATGACCACATTCGACCAGTGTTCGTTGTTCATCGATCGCCACTGGGCGTATTGGGTTGGAGTGGTGCCTGTGCAGTCCACACCGTTTGCGTCCTTCAACCCTCCCAGGCTCGCTGTCTGGAGGATTTCCAAGGTGGAGAGTATCTCCTAAGCAAGCCGCTAGATGGGTCAGGTTTCTCCCACTCTTATCTGCTTGGAAACAAAGTTGATGGCCAGTGCTTCAGAATTAATCTTAATACACCATAATTGTTGAGAGAAATAGCAACATGGAGTATCGTGCGTCCATTTGGATCGGTATCATTGACGGAGGCCCCGTTGCGTGAAAAACATGAAGGAATCTCTGGTCGGTCGTAATGTGCTGCCCAGAGCAAAGGCATCATGCCGTGACCGTCTTTGCTATTTGGATCGGGCTCGTAGGTGAGCAATGCCTTCAGAAGGTTCAGAGGGGCACCAACTTGGACAGCCAGACAACGTGGCGTCCTATCAAGTTTATCTTTCACAGCAACGTCTGCTTTGACATCGAGTAAGATCTGCAGACACTCATCGCCACCCGCAGACAAGCACCAATGCGTAGAGCTTTCCAAACGAGCTCCGAGCAAAAGGATTAGCTCCCACATTCATCAGCACCCGAAGAAGTTTCCAGATTCAGAGATTCCACTGCTATCTGTGGTTCTAGTCAACGGCTACACATTATTACACGTCACGGAACGAACTCACATGAAGGATTGTCTTGCCTTCCGGATAGCTGGCGTCTGTGGAAGACGCTCCCCGTTGGAATGACAGCCTCTTCACATGATCCAGAACTCCCATCCTTACTGTCCCGAAAACTGGAGCATTTTCAGGAGCAGATTTCCCCGTTCCCGTGGAAGGCCGGATAGACCATCCCTAATGCCGCTTAGACTGTGAGCAGAACATTGCGGTGGCTTCCCAGGCCCGCTTCCCAGGCCACTGAGGACATGCAAGGCCAAATTCGGAAAGAGAAGTCCCCGGGAGGCGCAGGTCTTCACTGGCGACGGCTCTCTGGACACAACGAAGAGAGGATCCAAAACTCCGATTCCGAAGTTGGGAAGTTTGGCATGGCTGCCTCCATGACAGATGCAATGGCACTGCTCAATAATGGAAAAGCCGCTGCTCAGGGAAGCCTATCCACGCTCAATACTCACATCTCTGGGTATTCAGTGTGGCCCAGGAAACATGGCCATCTACTAAGGACACGCATTGATCCGTGTTTGTGCACGCCCAGGAAAAGCGGCCACAACAACAAGGGTTCACGAACGACCTGCCGAGGCAAAGAAAACAGAAAACACCTTTCTGTTCGTGGACCCAAAATGGCAGCCCGTAGGGCGCCAACTTTGTCCCAGCCATCCAGGGAGACGATTCAACTTACATGATAGAAATCCGTACATCGCTGTAAAATATTCTCTGGACTAAATCCCTTCGATCTCTGCACTTTCTGCTATTGAACATTCATTCATTCGTTCATTCATTCTATTGATCACTTCGCATAGGAAACCAGTTACATATGCCTCAACATGACGATTCGCAGCCGTAAAGCGATAGAAAAACCCTGGGATCTTGCCCCGCAGCTGCACACAGCGATCGAGTACGACGGAGAACAGTTGGACGAATCCAACCACAGTTGATCCAAACGGTACAGTAGCGAGCCTGTTGTGAGTCTTAGCGAACAGTCGGAACTCAGGGACGAAGGAGATACAGACCGGAGAACGGCAGGCAACGTATCGCCGCAACAGGGGTGTTTCAATCCGCGCCTGCGGGAGAAGGAATTGGGTCAATCTCTTGGAAGTGCTGCGCAGGCGGATCGCCTTCTTCTTCCTTTGGCATCACAGCTCCTTTTGCTATCAACACCTTCACCACGTTTTCATATCCGCGCTTTGATGCAGCCCACAGTGGACTGTACCAGGGACTCCCGCTCGAGACGTTGACATTAGCCCCATTGTCAAGCAGTAATTTCACCACATTTTCATGATCGTTTTCTGATGCAGCCCGCAATGGACTGTCCAGCTGAATCCCGCTCGGGGCGTTGACATTAGCCCCATTATCAAGCAGCATCTTCACCATATCCTCCTCGCCCTTCTCTGAAGCCGTCTTCAATGCACTGCCCCAGGATGCATTGCCCAGAGCATTTACATCAGCCCCGTTATCAAGTAGCAGCTTCACCGTCTTTTTCTTTCCAGCGGCACATGCTGCACAAAGTGCATTGCCATGATTTCCACCCTGAGCATTGATATCAGCTCCGTTATCAAGCAGGACGTATACAACGTCAATACGTCCCATGCCTGACGCTGCTTGAAGTGCATTGCCATGAGTTCCACCCTGAGCATTAACATTAGCTCCGTTATCAAGCAGAACGCGTAAAACGTCAATATATCCCGGATATGACCTTGCAATTTGTGCATTACCATAAGCTCCACAACATGACGCTGCAATAAGTGCATTACCAAAATCTCCACCCTGAGCATTGACATTAGCTCCGTTATCAAGTAGGAGGCCTACGACGTCAATATGTCCCGAGACTGACGCTGCTTGAAGAGCATTGCCATAGTATCCACCTTGAGCATTGATATTAGCTCCATTATCAAGCAGAACGTGTACAACGTCAATATATCCCAAATATGACGCTGCTTGAAGTGCATTGCCATAAAATCCACCCTGAGCATTGACATTAGCTCCGTTGTCAAGTAGGAGGCCTACGACGTCAATGTGTCCTCGGAGGCACGCTGCTTGAAGTGCATTGCCATCCTCTCCGCCCGTCGCATTGACATCCATGCCCCCCTCAATCAGCATTCTTCCTGACTCGAACAACCCAGCCAGCGATGCATAGTATAGTGGAGGGGCTAGGTCATCCAATCTGCGGCTCAGGTTCTTCCGATAATGATGATTATAGACGTCAGGATCGCAAATCCGGATCCAATTCAAAAAGCCTTCTCTATCTGACATCAAAAGTTCCGTGCTCAAGAGAGTGGTGCTTTTGGTTGAGGCTTTCTCAGCCAATCTTGCATGGTGAGGCCAAAACTTTGCCGCATACCCAGCAAGTGGAGATAGTTCAAGAGTCTCATCCGTCAAAGAACCTGGCTCATCAAATTGCAGGAGGTATGCAAGACAATCTTCTGCTAAAACCCCATGGGACTCTATCTCTCGGATCCTGTAATGCGGAGCCGTTCCGTGCTGGATTCTGTCTGAGACTAGATACTCTTTGACGGAGAAGTGCGCCAGTCTGACGTAGGTTGTAGAGTTTTCTGGGTCAGAAACTTCGGCCACACTGTTGGGATCCGGGTCCTGAGGGTTCTCACTGAGCTCACCGCCGCTTTCTTCGTTGTTGGAATGCTTTGTCAGCGTGATGAGACTCGAACATATCGTTAGTATGTCTCGTGGTTCGGGTAATCGTCGTAGCGGATCAAAGCGAGGAGTCTCGTCAACATCGATAGCAACGATCTCTGCGATTTCTTCGAGCTGCAATGGCCGAGCAGAAAAGGTCAACCATTGCAGTATCTTTAGAATGTACCGATTGTAGTGATTATAGTCTTTGTCAATGTTGCAGAGTATGCGCGCGTACGTGTCGTCCAAAGTCTTTGGAAGAGACACCAGAGCTTGGCGGAGGTGAGGGAGATGAAAACAGTTTCCTAATGAATCGAGCTGGCATGCTGCCCATCGAAACCTGACATTCAAAAATTAGCCTAATGAGAGCCGTAATGACTGCTTATCTCACATTCCATCTGCTTTCTTCATAAGCGTATCCTCAATTTCCCGCTGCACTTCAGGACGTTTCAGCCACCTTTTAAGTCTTGGATCGATCTGAAGCCGGTCGCGTATATAGGTGCGAATGTCAGCATTGACAAGTGCGCTCTGAATGCTGATCCGATTCCGTGTATCGCTCATTGGTGTCAAAGCCTCCTCGATGTCTTTTTCCCTTCGACTGGTAGTCAACAAATGCACATTCGCACCTTCCCATGATACAATTTTTTCAAGGTTTGGGAGAAGCTCGTCACGTTCTGCACACTCGTCGAGAGCATCAAGGATGATGTATGTGTCTCCCAGAGAGGTCATCATTTGACGCAATGTGTTTAATAGTACTTCCTCAGTCGGCTGCGACCTGCCACTCAAACATGACGAGTACAGATTCTGGAGGATCGGATCTCCACAGTACCTGGAAAGCTGGCAGATCAATGAGCGTATCATCTTCTCATGTCGCTGTTTTTCGGCATCGTTGAAGTCGAAATAGAAGAATAGCACGGCCGAGTTGGGCTCTGAATGTTGCCTCTCGAGCACATCTTGAAGTATCGTAGAGCTGAGAATGGTTTTGCCGCAGCCAGGGATCCCGTGCAGCCAAATGAACGACCCCCGTGCGGTGTTCCAATTAGCAAATTCCTTGCTCTTGATGAACCATGAGCCTGTTTTTGGGTTGCGTGTTTTCAACGCTCTGTTGTAGTTCGTTGATGGATCTGGCGCGTCAAGCCATTCGATGCTCCTCAGATGCTCACTGGCTATGTCTCGTAAGTATGCTATGCGAGGGTTGTATCTAGACGAAGCAAAGAATTTCCAAATTACAGGATTTGAACATTGAGGGCCCATAACACTGTTCAAGACTAGCTCTTGGAATCAAGATGAACAAGTTCTGTGATTTTACTCTTAGGGGTGACGGACTTATCTGGCTCATCTTTATTGTACTGACTCCTTTGGCAATCTCTGCGACTTCCTCACGCATGGTTGCCACATCTTCTTTGATGGCTTTGGAGAGTCGTCTGCACCGCAAGAGACCTCAGCTGTGAATTGATAGAAGAACGGGCATACCAGAACATCTTACATATGATCATTTTGCCGGGCCAAATTGAACAGCGCTTTTTGTCGCTCAATGCTACCCAAAATCTCCCTGATCTCTTCTTTCTGGAACGGCCAAATGATAGCCTTGCCAAATTTTTTCAACCCTGTAGCTGACGGGGCAAGCTTAGAGGACAAGCGCTCGAGTGCTCTTCGCAACTGGTCCAGTGGTCCTTCTGGCACGTTGAGTGATTGTAATGTTGAAGACCACTGATCACCCTGCTTCGCTTTATCCGCCTGGTCCTCGAGTATGAAAAGAACTCCGGTGACACTGGCTAGTTCAGAGAGGATTCTTTGACGATCTTCGGGAGCGCCTTTGACGCCGTTCAGGTATTGTATGACTGTTGAGGCGAGTTGGAGTAATGCAGTAATGCTAGCGGAAATGCTAAGTGGATCCATTCTACTGTGGTTATGAAAGCTAGAAGTCAAATGTGACACAGCAAAGCATTCAGAACACGACAAGGTGGAGCTGGCTCTGAGATGAAGAGGGGGCAGCAAGAGGCAACAAGGCTGAGAGTGGAGAGAAGATGATTTGATTGGGCGTGCTGCCCTCAGCTTGGGTCATCGTGCAGCAGGGAAAGCTGACACTTCCCACCCACCTTTCGAAACAGGAAGGTGCCTCGACCAACAACCTATTGGCTGTCGCGTTTATTGATGTGACACCATTGGCATATGGAATCAATTGATACAACGTTGCACCCGCATACGATGAATAACAGCTCACATTCAATTTGGACGTAGCGCTATGCGCAAACCCACTGCTTAGGAAGGATTCTCACAAATGTATATGTTTGGTTGAGTAGACTTGACCTCCGCAAAATACATCCTGGTTTTCAATCGACAAACTATGTAGGGTGAGTAATGTTGATTGCCTATTGAGGACCTGTGTAGGTACCATTACTTCAAGAATCCCACAACGACCTATCACGATAGGGAGAGTGGCAAATACTTCCCTAGGTACTTCATGAATTTGCTCGTCTCGTTGGCAGGTGAAGAATATAGCCCTCTCCAATCTCCACCATGACGGTTGACGAAGCCCCGAATGCGAATAATGCCAATAACATCAGGATCAATGTTCGTAAACACGAGCGCCATACGTTTGTGCAAGAAATCGACCAAAAGCTGGGCTTTCGTCCAGTACAAAAGCAGTGCTTCTCGTCACTTTAATCCTCTCTTCTCCTTCGACAACCTGACATCCACACCCGCCAGCGATACCATTTATCCTATACCGAATTAATTGATATATAAAGCCGTAGTTGACTGTAATGCTGTTTTGCATATAAAGCATGGTTCCAAATGACCATTTTGAAACCACTGGGGGGTTTAGTCATATAAAGCTGGTATTTCTGAGAGGTAGTCTCAGTGGCCCCACGCAGTGGGTCTGAGCAGGAAACCGTGCCAAGCCTCATTTTTTTGGTGGTTTGGCTGATATGAGATATTTACCCCTAGGTATATCAGCATTAATAAGTTCCGGGGTAGCTGTTACCCCGGAGCGAGCTACTCCGAAACTACTCGTAGTATCCAGAAGTGAGTAACCTCGCTTAATAGCGCCGGGAGAGTTGACCAATCAAACTACGATTTTCGCGGTGAACTAAGTAGTTTGATTGGTCAACTCTCCCGGCGCTATTAAGCGAGGTTACTCACTTCTGGATACTACGAGTATTTCAAAGAAACTTAATAATCTATAACTTCGATATATCATTACTTAATAACCGAACCATCACTTTTTATAAAAACTTATAAATATATTCTTAATATATATAATAATAATATATCAAATTTTCTAAATTGGAAGTTCGAAGTCTTTAAAGATATTAAGCTTTTTAATTTTTTTTCTAAAAATCTTAAAATAATTAAATAATTAAATAAAATTAAAAATTTATTAATAAAACTTTATATATCTTTACTTATATCTATAAATTATTAAATAATAATTTAAAATTATAAATTATTTAATAAATTACTTAAGATAATAGCTTAGAAAAATAACTTTTAAGTAAAAATTTAATAAGTATTATTTCAAAAAATCTGGTCGGGTATATTCTATAATAATATTCTAAAATAAACTTATGAATATAACGAATATTTTAAGGTTATTTTTAGAATTTTCTCGGTACACGTTAAAGAATAAGAGGGGGGTTAAAGATATAGTTTTTAAAACTCTAATTTAAATCTTCTGAAAATAATTAATTTAGATATTTTATTAAAAATCGAAAAAAAAAAATCTAATTCTACGATATTTAAATAGTTATTCTATAGAAATTTTTTTTTTTATTAGAGTGCGTAGTAAAAAGTTATATATAAAAGAAACTACTTATTTTCTATTTCGGTCAATTTTGATAAAGATTTTATACAAAACGAGTAAAGGCCTATGAATTAAATTCATAATCATTTTTTTAATTAGGGCTATCGAGTAAATAGGTGAGCGATCTTTAGTAAGCGAACTTTGATGAGCGATATTTGAATTCCTTACGCTTTAATAACTATAAGACTAAATTTAGAAATTCTTTTTTTATCTAAAAGCCCATATTTTATTCTATAATTTAAAAAAAAATCTCAAAATTTCAATAGAAAACTAAAAAGTTATTTTAAATCAAATAATGTGTACTTGTTTTTTAATCAGGGCTGTCCGGCTATCGAGCGAACTTTGATAAGCGATATTTGAATTCCTTACGCTTTAATAATTATAAGACTAAATTTAGAAATTTTTTTTTATCTGAAAGCCCACATTTTATTCTATAATTTAAAAAAAAATCTTAAAATTTTAATAGAAAATAGTAAAGTTATTAAAGAGTTAAAAGTAAGATTAAAAATAGAGTAAGATTTTTTGATAATTATAGACGCTAATTTATTTACCCGCGATGACTCAGCCGATTTAACCAAAGAGCGTAGTGACCCTGAATTTATGATTGGCTGCACATACAAATTCAAGGTTTTCAAGCTCAGCCCTACCTTATTCTTTTATATATACTGATAACGGCCAATGTAGCGATTCTAGGGTTTTCTACTCAGACTCTAGAGGGGGGTATGCCGTAATGAGCTTGCGATATGATTGGCCCCCGAAGCGAGGAACGAGTGTAGGGCTGGTCATAGGGTACCCCCCTAAGCGAGTCTGAATACTGAGACTATCTGAGAGGGTACAAAGATTACTTAGTCATCTATATAGCCAATCAAGTATCTACTAGGCTACTCCAGTTACTCCAGTTTCAGCCCTTCCACACCTATTCTACATACACTATTCCGACTATTATATCCACCATTCTTCGTCATCCTCACGCATCCAGCTCGAGATCATCCTTCATAGCCTCGTATCAGGTGGATAGGTGGAGAATATGCTGGAGAAACACGTCCTTGCGCGTATTAATTTGGTAGATAAACCGCTATCTATCCCCTGATTCTCACCTTACTAACTAGCGGCGACAGCAGTAAAGCACTACTAGCATATAAGACTATTTTACATAAAAAATACGGTTCTATTAGTAAAAAAAACCTCCAATACCATATAAAGCTAAAGCTTTATATATCAATTAATTCGGTATCCCAGTTATCCAATCACCTCAGAATCCACGATGAAAAGCTTCACCCCCATCCTCACCACTCTCGCCTCCACCTTCATCGCCACCATCCTCGCCAACCCCGTGGATCCCGCATCGCTGGCGCCCCGCCAAGGAAACCCATGCGGCACCCCCGTCGCGTGCGACGCGTGCAGCCCCACCGGTGAACCCCCGGGGATTTAGCGTATTCAAAACCGTCTGGAATGCTTGGCACCGGAGATCTTTCACACCACACACCCAAATTCGTACTGTAGCATAGAAATCTCTCCGCAAAATCATTCAAATCAAGTAGCCACATCGCAAATAGTCGCATTTGATCAATTTTGAAGCTATACAAACCTCAACTATGCCTTTTAAACGCATCAATAACGCTTAACTACTTGCGAAAGCTTTCAATAGAAATAAAGAAAATATATAGTGGCCTTCGCCTGAGTAGAAGTACTATGAGAAACAGGTATAGCGATTAAGGGGTTAAAGAACATATCAAGACTTCAGTATAACTTTAATTTTTGTTTTCTGGGACCTATACTAACGATAGCAGTGTTATTAAAAAATTTTACGGAGAGATTTCTATGCTACAGTACGAATGTGATGTGAAAGATCTCCGGTGCCAAGCATTCCAGACGTTTTTGAATACGCTAAATCGGCCTCTAGGGCGTGTTCCCCCATGCCTCGCCCGGCCCCACGGCCGCCTGCTTCACGAGCCACAACCTCGAACCACAGTCCGTCGGCTGCCCCTGCACCTTCAACGGCAACACGCAAACGACGGCGATCGTCGGCTACGCGCCCAGCGGGTTCGACGGCGACGTGATCACGGTGGGCCACGTGTAGGTGATCTGGACCGCCAACGACGGCGGCGCGCCCGGCGGCACGATTGGCGTCAACGTCTACTCACCCTGGGGACAGGGCGCGGGAGGCTACTTCCCGCTCATCGGCTCCTCGCCCTACCTCCCCGTCGCAGGCCCCTCGTCCGCGTCCTATCCGATCCTCACCACCCTCCCGGACGCGATGACATTCACCGTCGTAGCCACCCGATCCAACTTGGCCGGCACCAATCCTCCCCCCCTCCTGATCAACTTTTCCTTCACCTACGGCACCCATAACCACAGCTTTCCCACCATCACGTCCCCAGTCACCCAACTCCCTACGCAACGACCCCTTGCGGATTTCACCATCGACAAGCCCCCTTACCCCTGGCGGTACGCCGACGGTCTCAAGGTTCCGGCATGACCAGTAGGGGGGGAGCAAAGGGGGAGGGGACGCTGCGTCTTTGGTCGCTGGACGTCTGAGCTTCGAGGTTCGAGCGGGAAAGGGGGAGGGGGAGGCACCGGAGGGGATGAATCGAGTCGTTCAGAGTCAGCGCAGTGCCCAAGCATATCGTCCTTCGTTACCTGGAGCGTTGCAAAAGACAAGACGTGAAGATTCGACTCGCGGTAGTATCGGTGAAGGAATGACAGCTGGGGCCTTAGAAAGAAAGGCACGTAGAGTATGAAGCTCATTGACATTGATCGGTGGAGACGATTATTATTGACGTATCAAGAAAATATTAAACTTGTGATCTCATATGCATACAAAAAGTGATGATCACAAGCCTTTCTTTCAAAAATGGTTTGTCTCAGCTCGTATGCACAGCTTCCGCCTTCTCAGCGAGCGCCCTCGACACCCTGCAACCTGCAAAACACGCACCACAAACTAGCCCTCCAGACCCAGCATTCCCCCAATCAATAAGGCGGTCTTCCCAGCCCACCTCCAACCCTCCTCCTCTCACCCACCGACACCGCGTCAATACTCCCCAACAGTGCATTCACATCCACGCCCTTCTTCCTTCCAATGCTTGCGTGCTTC